ATCTTATTTCTTGAATGAAAACAGTCTTAAATAAGACTTGAAACAACTACGACCGAAACAAACGTGGACTCAACTTACTAGCTTAAAAAACTCAACTCTCTCCTACAAACCAGGAGACTTATTCAACTTAAAGACTCATTCAAATTAAACTTCAAACCGAAACTTGCAAGACACGTAAGGCACACGACTTGAGCTTTCAATCCTTCCCTTAAACTGAAAGACCATCCTTCAGTTTACTTCTTTCTTCTTCACACACACACCCATCATTCCTCTGAGTTTTTCGAACACATCAAGCTTCACAGCTTTTGTCATTATGTCTGACACTTGCTCCTCTGTTGCACAGTACTCTAGTTGTATAACTCCATCACTTACCAGCTCCCTTAAGTAATGATATCGAACATGAATATGCTTGCTTCTTCCGTGTAGAACTGGGTTTTTGGACAGCCTTATGGTGGAGCTGTTGTCACAGAACATTGTGGTTCTCTCGTCTTGGTTGAACCCCATCTCTTGAAGTGTGTTTCTCATCCATACTGCTTGGCAGGCTCCATAGACTGCTGCAATGAATTCGGCTTCTGTAGTGGACAAGGTTACTATAGGCTGCTTCTTTGATGCCCAACATACTGCTCCTCCTCCTAACATGAAGACGAACCCTGATGTACTCTTCCTGTCATCTACATCTCCAGCATAGTCGCTGTCTACAAACCCAACTACTCTTTGTTCTCCTCCTCTTTTGTAAAGAATACCATACTCAGAAGTTCCCCTTACATACCTCATGATTCTTTTAACGGCCTGCAAGTGCTGCTCATTTGGATGCTCCATGTATCTACTTACTAGATTCACAGAGTAAATTAGATCAGGTCGAGTTGTAGTTAGATACCTCAGACTCCCCACAAGCTGTTTGTACTCGGTTGGACTAACATCTTCTCCACTTCCAGCCTTTGACAGTTTATGTCCAGGTACTATAGGATTCTTCACTGGATTGCAGTCTTCCATTCCATACTTCTTCAAAGTATCCTCTGCATATTTCTGTTGACTGATGAAGATTCCCTGATCATCTTGAACCACTTCCACTCCCAAGAAAAACTTCATCTTCCCCAAGTCACTCATCGAGAACTCCTTCATCATAGAATCTTTAAACCTTTGAAGCATCGTTACTGAGTTCCCAGTGTAAATAAGATCATCTACATAGAGACTCACTATCAAAACACTCTCGCCTTCTTGTTTTATGAACAAGGTGTGTTCACAAAAGCATTTTTCAAATTCCTCCTTCTTGAAATATCCTTCTATACGGCTATACCAGGCTCTAGGTGCCTGTTTCAAGCCATATAATGCCTTCCTCAGCTTGTACACTTTGTGTGTCTCACCTTCTACTTCGAAACCTTGAGGCTGGTCTACATAAACGTCTTCATTTAACTCCCCATGCAGAAATGCGCTCTTCACGTCTAGTTGGTAGACTGTCCATGCCTTCTCTGCAGCCAATGCGAGTAACATTCTCACTGTGTCCCATCTGGCCACTGGTGCAAAAACCTCATGAAAATCAACTCCATGCTTCTGGTGATACCCCTTTGCCACTAGCCTCGCTTTGAACTTGTCTACTTCCCCTTTCTCATTGAATTTTGTCTTGAAAACCCATTTTACTCCAATAACTTTGGCTCCTGCTGGCAACTCCACCAACTCCCAAGTGTTATTTTCTTCAATAGAACCAATTTCAGCTTCCATGGCTCTCCTCCATATTTCTTCTTGCTCGGCTTCTTCAAAGGAATCAGGATCTTCCTTTGAGATGAACAACGCAAATATGTCTTCTCCTTCTTCTGAAATGATGAAACTTGAAGTGCCTGTGATGTAGTCTTTCATCCATACAGGCATTTGTCGCTTTCTTCCTGATCCTTCTCTTGTCTGAGTTTCATCTGAAGCTTCTTGAGTGTCTTCTTCTTCTTCTGCATTTTCTTGATCCTCTGTTTCAGTATTTTCCTGAACTTCCTCAGGTGCAATATTACCTTCCCTTTCTGTCTCAGTCTCCATATCTTCCCATACCAGCTCATCTCCCTTTGAACTCTCTTCCCAATCCCACCTTTTACTCTCATCAAACTGAACGTCTTTGCTTATGATGATCTTCTTCGTTACTGGATTGTAAAGTCGGTATGCCTTTGAACCTTTGCTCAACCCAAACATCACACACTTAGTACTTTTTTCATCAAGTTTGATCCTCCTTTCATATGGCACTAAAGCATACGCCACACATCCAAACACCCTGAGGTAATCCACAGAAGGCTTATGTCCACTCCACTTTTCTGCAGGCGTTACTTCACTCACAGCTGCAGATGGACTTCTGTTCAAGATATGAACCGCATACTGCACTGCCTCTGGCCAGAATCTCCTTGGTACTGCCATCTCAAGCATCAAACATCTTGTCATGTTCATGATGCTTCGATTCTTTCTTTCTGCAGTGCCATTTTGTTGTGGGGTGTAGCCGGCTGTTAACTGTCTTTTGATCCCAATCTCTTTGCAGTATTCTTCAAAGGCTTTAGAATTGTATTCACCTCCTCTGTCTGTCCTCAAGCAGATCATCCTCTGTCCCAACTCTCTTTCAACTTCAGCTTTGAACTCTTTAAAGAATTTTAGTGCCTCTGATTTCTCTGTTAAGAAGTAAGTCCAACACTTCCTACTATAGTCATCAATGAAGTTGATTATGTATCTTTTACCACTTTCTGAGATGGGTGTGATTGGGCCACATATGTCACTGTAGACTAACTCCAGTCCTCGTGTTGCTTTCCACATGCTCTTCTTTGGGATGCTCTCTTTGTTTTGCTTTCCCTTCATACATACTTCACATACAGTCTTCTCTTCCTCTTGACTGATGATAGGTAGTCCTCTAACCATCTCCTTCTCTGCTAGTGATCTCAGACCTTTGTGATTGAGATGTCCAAATCGCTTGTGCCATAGTTGATTTGTTTTTGTTGTGACTTGCAGACATCTCCCTGCCTCATCACTCGCCTTCTTCACTGTGGCCAGAACCATAAACATGCGATTTTTAGACATGTTTGACTGAAAGAAAAGCTTCTTTCTTTCTTTACTCCAGATCTCACACACTCCGTCTTCTATGATGATCCTCAATCCCTTCTCTTGTAACTGTCCTATACTGAACAGGTTATTCTTTAGTCCTGGAACATAATAAACTGACGTGATCACAGAGATCACTCCATTTATCTCCAATCTGAGATTGCCTTTTCCTTCTACCATCATTCTTCTGTCATCTCCTAGCTTAACGCTTTGATGAAAATTGTTGTCAAGTTCAGTGAACCACTCTTTAGTGCCGCACATGTGATTGCTACATCCCGAGTCTAAGAACCAAACATGTTTGTCATCTTCTACTTCCTTTACATGCGCCATAAGAAGCATATCTTCCTCCATCTCTGCATAATTTGCTTCTCTATCCCAGTTTGGACACTCAGATTTGAAGTGTCCAAGTTTATGACACTTGTAGCACTCAACTGTATCTTTGTTGAAACCTCTCCCTCGACCATGGTTACTTCCTCGTCCTCTACCACGGAACCCTCCTTGACTCCTGCCTCTTCCTCTTCCACCATCCGATCTCCACTGTTCTTCTATTTTCATGGCATGTTCTTCACCCACATGTCTGCTGAGATTCTGCTCGTGGACCATTAGAGAGCTTTGCAGTCCGTCGATCGTCATTGTCTTGACATCGTTTGATTCTTCAATCGCACATACAACGTATGTGAACTTCTCTACAAGTGTTCGTAGAATTTTCTCCACAACTTTAACATCTGGCATGTCTTCTCCTAGGTTGCGCATATCATTAGCAACCTCCATCACTCGTCCGAAGTATTCGGTGATAGTTTCCCCTGACTTCATCTCCAGAACTTCAAAGCTTCTTCTCAGCCTTTGTAGTTGTGCACTCTGTACTCTATCGTTTCCTTGATACTTCCTCTTCATAGAATCCCATAAATCTTTTGCCGTTTCTTTCTTCAAAATCGTCTTGAGAATGGTTTTGTCTATAGATGCAAACAGGTAATTCTTAACTTTGTGATCCTTCACGGTCTGCTCTGCCAACTCTGTTCTTTGTGCTCCAGTGAGGATTACATTCCTTTCAGGTCTTGATATTCCTGTCTCAACAAGCTCCCACCACTCCTTTGACCGGAGCAGATTCTCCATGAGCATCGCCCAGTGCTCGTAGTCACCATCAAACTTTGGTATGATCAACGCCTCTTTTTCACTCATTTGATCTCTCTTTCTCTTGTACCAGGCTCGTTACAAGCTCTGATACCAATTGTTGGTTTTATAATGAAAGACGATGAACAAAATATCTCTGAAAGTTCTTATCTTATTTCTTGAATGAAAACAGTCTTAAATAAGACTTGAAACAACTACGACCGAAACAAACGTGGACTCAACTTACTAGCTTAAAAAACTCAACTCTCTCCTACAAACCAGGAGACTTATTCAACTTAAAGACTCATTCAAATTAAANATCTTATTTCTTGAATGAAAACAGTCTTAAATAAGACTTGAAACAACTACGACCGAAACAAACGTGGACTCAACTTACTAGCTTAAAAAACTCAACTCTCTCCTACAAACCAGGAGACTTATTCAACTTAAAGACTCATTCAAATTAAACTTCAAACCGAAACTTGCAAGACACGTAAGGCACACGACTTGAGCTTTCAGTTCAGAGTCATTTCTCGATGAACAAACAACTCAGCTGATTATCGGATTCTTCAGAAGACGACGCGAAACTGCGGCGCGTCTTTCCCGTCGGCGGGAAGAATCTCCCAGCGGCAAGGTTCGAGATCATCGGAGACGGGGCAGTAACCTGCGAGAGTGACTCTGTCTCCGGTGGCTGCCACGGAGCCGAACTCGAAAACCGTCGCGCGATCGGGACGAGGGACTTCTATGGCTCCGTTCATCCCCGGAGCCGGAGTTTCCAATTTCGACGTCGTCTGAGTTATCTCCGTCTTCGTCGTCTCTGGTTGTGAAGGCTTAGAGCTTCCGGTGAACCACGAGAGTATCCCCATAGCTAACTGAATCGGTGGGTGAGTTCGAGGAAATGAATTAGGGTTTATCCTTTTCCCCTTCTCATTTGCTGAAAACTTAGGCCTAGTTTATTAGTTTGGGCCTTATAGAGTGGGTTAGGCTTCACTTGAGTATCAAATAGCCCATGAATATAATGAGAAAGTTTTACACTTTTACATTTAATCCCTATAGTTTTAGACAACACTCGAACCAAATTACATTCCAAATGGAATAGCGTATCTATTTAACACTCTTACAGATATGTCTTAACCAAACCATTGGAATCTGATACATATTGGTATGATTCTAAAGAACCATATAAGCAGTTATAGATCTCATCATTCTCGACCAACCTTGACAACTTGTTGCCTAATGTTTTTTCCAAGTTAAAGTCCCACAAGAGCAGCAGGACCGTTCTCGAGCACTTTGACGGTGCCTTCTTTGCATCCATACCCTCTTGAGCAATATTATGATTGTTTTTAGGCGTTAGGAATATAAACCTAATACTAATAACCGAGGAGTCCAGTGTTTAGGAGAGGAACACTGATATGTTAACGGCAAGTTTGGGTATAATGGGAGTTCTAGTTGTAGTGGACTCCTTCCCGTCGACCACTGCTCAAACAAAATCATCTTTTCGAAAAAGCAGGATCATCAGAATCTATCACTTCATAGCAGAGGTACACGTGTATCATCGAATCAACAACAAGTGATAATTAAAGACATGTGTCCTTGTGTGTATCTATATGTAATGTACAAACTAGTGTTTTACCTTGTCAGGGACGTAAGCCATTCGAAAGTGCCGTAGACGAAGGATTTGGTTTTATCATGAGAATCCCAATGTAAGGGTCACAAGACAAGTAAAGAAATTTCACCAGAAGAATTGATGATCCGGACATAACATAGAGTTTCACGGAGTTTAAAACTAATTGGTAGAATTATGTGTATTATATATTCTTCATAATTACAAGTTGTTTATATAAGAACAAGATAATTAATCTAGAGCTGTGAAATAAGATACTAAATGATGTGACTGAGAAATAACATGGATACGATATTGAATACAAATTTGTTTATTCTATCAATAGGTAATTGATTGAGATCCCATTATTCCCTGAAATTTTGTTAATCTACACGAGTAAGGTGGGATGCATATATATGTGAATTATATGATCACAAAATAAAGTGAACACCTACTTCTTTATTTCAACGAGGAAGGATAATACAGAGAGGGGAGAGTTCAAGGAAATTATATTATAAATCACAGAGCCAATTTCTTTATTTCACATAATCGGATCGGTCAAAGCGAAGAGGAAGAGGAGGAAAAAGCGAGATGAGCATACAGAGATAGAGTTAGATTCAAGCGAGCACCAAAGTTTTACCTATCTGGTGGATCGGCGTAGAAAACGCGACTAGGGAGAGAGCGAGACGGGAGAGAAAGTGTCACGTCGATAAAGATTCAATCCTTTTAACTCTCTAGTTACAGACCGCACCTTAATAAATGATACATTATTAATTTTTCTTTAATCTGATTTACGTAAGATTTGCGGTTAAGGATCCTTGACGTATCCGCGTTGCGGCTGCTCTTAGACACATGGTACGGATGGATCTTTGGTCAACATATTCTATTGGATATGGACTTTGATCTTGAAAGAGATAAAATTTTAGGTAGTCTTCAGATTTAATCTACTATAAATTTTCACAAAGATTGCGCTCTTTATATCAAACAAAAGAGGTCTTGGGTTTCTGCTAAACTTGCCATATTGCGACACATGTTATGGCCAACCTGAGATAAGTTGGTCAATATCCCTCCAATCGAACACCTCGTCTTGATTAGTGAATCATCTTTTTCCATCTTTTTAGATCCTTTAAACATTGATTTTATTGGAGTTAGCTATAAATAGAGAAAAAACTTTGAACCACAAAATTAGTATAAACCATTTATTAGGATAAATGCAATGAACCCAGTGACAAATTCATGTTTTTGTCCTAATCATCGTTTAAGTTCTCTTTCAACTTTCAATTCTTATCTAATTAATGCTTGACAATATAAAAGTATACCCTATTCCTGTCTTTATCATGAAGAAAAATTAACATACACTTTTTCCCTGTGGTACTCTGAATCTACTCATATTCTTATTGGATAGCAAATTTGGACAAACCTTCAACAATTTTAGTTAAATTGTTTCAAGATAATTACATCACTAATGAAAACGATCAATCTCTATTAGACCAACCACTTAGATGTTCTGGAGCTATTAAACTACATATGCTTGTCGGGCAGAGACGTACAATCTTTAGTTTACAAATAATTTGGGTTAAATTTTCACACAAAAGAAAACAATTCGTCGTAAATATAGAAAAGTAAACAAAAAGGGGATTAGAGAGTCGTACGAGGACATTGATTAGGCAAGTTGGTATGGTCGAGAGTGAGGCTCGAGAGATTTTTCTTTTTTTTTTAACACTAGATTATCATTCATAGAGTTGGAAACAAGGATACAACTCTTTCAGAGGACCAAGTTCTAAGAGAAAAAGGTCTGAGAATATAAGTCTCTAATTTAATCTGGGTTAGTTGGTTTGGTCGAGAGTGAGGCTCGAGAGATTATGCATTGAATCCAAGCGAAATAGCCACGTGACGTCTCACCGTCTTTGTCCTTGCAAATCAACCAGATTATATTAGCAATTTTTCTCCATATACGTTTAAATGGGAGAATATTATCTAGTTCAAAGGACGTGATGAAACTGAGCATATGGACATTGTTATTGAGATTATAATATTGCATTAAGTGTCTAAGAATTAGACCAAAACATATGTCTATGCATATGGACTGTCGAAGACTACATGCATATAAACTACAGAAACGTAAATGGTTACATATATAATACTATTACAAGAAAACACGACTTTAACGAGGAAAAATTACGAGTTATTTACAACTATTTTACGAAGAATTTAATATTCATCGTAAAATCCTAAAAAAATTACAAGGAAAATATTTCATCATAATTTACATGTTAGTTTACGATGAAATTACTAAAAATTAAAAACTTCAATATAAAACCAAAGAAAAATTACTAAGCTTTTACGACGAACCATTTAACGGTTACATTAAATAAATGTGTTCTTAACCTAACTAATTTTGTTGCAAAAACATTGTAAAGCAGATATGAAGGAGTTGTAAAATCCTAGTAAAACTTGACACAAGCAAATACAAAAAAAAAAAAAAATCAAGAAAAACCATTACAAAGATTTATGTATCGATTTTTCAAGAAATTAAAAGGCGTACACGGTCACCAAAACAGTTATTATCAACTTCGCATAGTTTTTGTTTGAGAAGTCAATGAATAGCTATAAGGAATTGATAAAACTATTTCGATGACCGTGCACTCTCTTTAGTTTTTTTTTGGAAGAAATCCAATAATTTTTTTTGTAATACTTATACTTTTCTTGTAATATCATCGTAAATTTATTAACTGCATTACGACGAAAGTTAATAGTCGAACACAATTTTAAATGTGTGGTTCACCTACTTAATTCGTTGTAAATACGTTGTAACCAAGATATTACGGACATGTAAAGTCATAGTAAATATTTCCTTGTAAATATTTAGTAAAACTCCCCCCAACCAAACTCGGATAATTTTGTTGTAAAAACATTGTAAAGCAGATAGGAAGGAGTTGTAAAGTCCTAGTAAAACTTGACCTTGTAAATTTGTTGTTACACCTTCACCAACCAAGCTCGAAAATTTCAGATATATATGTCATTCCTCAATCCTAATAACACACAAGCAAATACAAAGAAAAAACATTACCAAGATTTATGTATCAATTTTTCAAGAAATTGAAAGACGTACACGGTTACCAGAACAGTTCTTATAAACTTCGCATAGTTTTTGCTCGAGAAGTCAATGAATAGCTATGGAGAGTTGATATATAAAACCGTTTCCATGACCGTGCACTCCCTTTAGTTTTTTTTTTTGGAAGAAATCCAATACATTTTTTTAATATTTGTACTTTTCTTGTAATGTCGTCGTAAATTTACAATTGTATTACGATGAAAGTTGTTAGTTGAACACAATTTTAAATGTGTGGTTCACCTAACTTAATTCGTTGTAAATATCTTGTATCCAAGATATTAGGGACATGTAAAATCATAGTAAATCTTTCCTTGTAAATATTTAGTAAAACTCTCACCTACCAAGTTCGAAGAATTTTCTATATATATGAGTATTGTAATTACATATCAACATACAAACGAAAAAACCAACTAAAAGAATATCCGATGGAAGAAATATTTTCGAATTGATGAGTTGGATGTATACGCATAAAGATTCCGACGGTAGAGTGACGAATGCTTTTTTTGGCGGACTAGAGACATTCATGAATCAGACATGATATACACCGCTCATGCAGGAAAATAGTAAGATGTTATGTTCTTGTCAGAAATGCAAGAATTCAAAATTTGTCGATACTAAAACTATATGGAAATATTTAGTACACAAAGATTTTACACTACATTACTATATTTGGTTTCAACATAAAAACGGTTATAGAGGAAATGAAGCTAATAATAGTAATAGTAATTTTCTGAATGTCGGTAATAATGAGGAACCGAATTATTTGTATCACGAATATAATCATGCTACTGAACAAATGGTCGATCATGATAAAATTTACGACATGATTATTGATGTATTTTTAGAAACTACTTCAACAATAGCTGATAAAACTGAAAACGTTAAAGAATCAAATTTGGATGCAAAAAAAAGTTTTATACTTCTTGTGCTTTAATTTTTATTGTTTCGAATTGACCATACTTATGACAATTTTGTTATAACTAGCTGATCTTTAGGTTAACCTAAATATTTTACATGTTGCAAGGAAACCAATAAATTGAGAAGTAAGAAATTAAGGGGAATCTTAAAACATGACCGACTTATTACAAAGAACAGAGGGAATATATGATATACTTTTATTATTTCACGAACTTTTTGTTGCAGGTCCACTAGACATCGATCTAAAGTTGCGGTGTTCAAGGCAATAATCATGCATGGGTTGCCATATATACACATATATATCTTCACTTTCCACCATATAATACTCGTTTTCAAAATCAAGTCATATAACTAAAACTCTAAAACATACATATATAGAGATGTTTAATCGTAATATATTAATTCAACGAACCAAAAGTTTGAGTATTCTGTAAGACAATTGAACTGACGACATGGTTGATGCTTTTATGTTAATTAATAACTGGGTTTAAACTTTAAAAGTTAAAACCGTACCATGTGATTCATACCAGTGTATTGCATAGGTCTTGTGGTATTTGTTTGCGTTTTAGTGTACGTTTAAAAAAAAAATAAACCATAGTTTAAGCATTTTAAAATTTTGTTAATTGTAAAGGGGAATACCAATTAAAACACAAACAGAATGATTTTTAATTATGATTAAACAATAACGTAGACATACATCGATTAATGAACACTTATATTGAAAAAATAATGCGTCGTTTTGTAATATCGATGAGTATTATTTCTTTTTTTGGTAAAAATCGATGAGTATTATTAGTTTGTTTATATTGGGAGATCCATTTTCTTTCATCTTTTTTGGTCAACGAGGAGATCCATCTTCACATCCCTAAATATACGATTTTCATATCTATTGAGTTGGCCTAGAAACTATGGCAGATCTTTCAGTATAACTTCGATTTTAATTAATTTCGGGTATGTCATCCATGCAGAATACTTTGCTTAGTACACGTCAAAGAGTTTTATATTTGAAGTGTGTCTTTATGCCTTGTTGATTTGGCCTAATTAAAGTAGTGTTGCACAATTCATTTAAATTGATGTGGATAATTAGTGTTGTAGTTTATTGTAATCTATCAACTCCCCTAACTACTTTTATCAAAAAAAAAAAAAAAACTCCTAACTACTACTCGCTGAATTTTATATATCCTGTCCAAAAACAAAACAAAAATATTACTTGAGGTTGAAGTTGTTTCTGAAAGCTCTCCCATGTTTCTCAATTCATTGAACCATGTACATGTAAACAAGATATACATTACGAAAATGATTCCGCACTTATATAGTGACTTTTTGAATGAACATGTTAGTCACTATCAAATTGAAAATTGCAGAGGAGGAAGAATAAGAAAACAAAGGAAAACTCATACTACAATAGATTAAGTAACCTAATATTGATTAATATAGCTAATTGACAAACAATAATGAGATAGGCAAGCCAAATTAACAAGAATTAAATTGAGCCAAACCAAACCGGTCTTGACTATTGATAACTTCACGCTATATAAAAATGAGACTTAAATTTTTGTTTATAAATTTTGGCCCAACATTTCCCACTAGAGCAAATACATTAACCATATGATGTGCCTTGAGAAGAGCAACACTATGGGTCCTGATCGATTTATAAACATAGACAAAATTATTGGTAGGTAAGATTATCAAAGAAATCTCCTCAAACTGCATTATTTAATATTACAAATACATATATATATATATATATATATGTATATATATTGACATTTCTAGTTAAAACTTATAAAAGAAATGTTTGAAAACAACTAAAGAAATTTTCATATATTACTGATACCAAAGAAAACTTTCTGATTAAGGGTAATTAAAAAAAAGGTTTCTGGTTACACTAGTTTTTATTTGCAAATAATAAAATTTATTATTTCCACATTAATTCCATGTCAGCAGCTTATGAATAAGAGATTCTAGTTTACGTCATGTCCATGCGAAAAGTAAGACCAGGGGAGATGAACCATGTGATTGTGGAGGAAGACTGGCCACACGGTGTTTCTTTTGTTTACTAAAAATTCACAAAATAAAATCAAAATTCAAATCTTCCAAAATCAGCAACTTGCCTCTCTCATTTGTCAGTTCCTTTATAAAAAAAAGTTTCCTCTTTTATTCTTTTCAACATTTCAGAAAATCCCTAAATTCACTGAACCCCTCTCCATACTTTTTGATCCTCTCCAAGTCCTCTCTTATTAATAACCCCAAAGAATTTTCCTCTCAAGTCTCATTTCTTATTTGCTACAGATTCAGCATCAAACCAAACCCACTTCTTGTTCTGGAACAAAGAAGTTTATCATCATCTTCTTCTTCTCCTTCTTGCATAAAGGATCTGGCTTTAACGGCTCAAAGGTAACTTCATTTCCAACAAAAAAAAACAGAGCAAGATTCTTTGAAATTAATTAATTCGAAAGCGTTGTGTTTATGATTCCTCTCCATACCCAATTTACTAATCTAATCATCCACAATTAATTGTTGCAGCTCCAAGTACACGTCACTGAGTCAACTCGTTCAGAAACTCGGATCTCTCTGCATTATCATCTCTCTGGATCGTAGGTCATCGTGAGTTGTCTCGGACTTGCTTCAACCAAACTGCATTGTGTCAAAATGATTCGCAAAACTCCAAATTTGCAAAACGACATCATAAACATTCAAGAGCGATATTCAAACAACCGGAAAAACATCAACTTTCACCGCCCGCCGGTAACGGTGCCGGAGAACAGCAAGTATGAGTTGCGTCGGACCTTCTCGTCGCAGAAGAGGTTGATGATCCCTGCGAATTGCTTCGGTATAGAGTCTCTGGTTCTGCTGGTGGGTCTGACGGCATCTCTGTTGATACTTCCGTTAGTTTTGCCGCCGTTACCTCCGCCTCCGTTTATGCTGCTTTTGGTTCCTATTGGGATCATGGTTTTACTCATTGTTCTTGCCTTCATGCCTTCTTCTAAGGCCAGAGATGTAACTCGCACTTTTATGTAAATCTGTTCTTATTGTACTTATAAAGTCTACGAACATTATTACATAATACAACTAGTTCATGGTAAAAGAAACCGTTTTAACTGAAAATGGCGGTAAGGTGATGAGTCTTGCCTACTTCCACAACTGGAACATCACATCCTTGAAGTTCCACGAGCCGTTCTCTTAGCCACTGAGACAGTAACCACCCTAGCTATGCTGTCTGAAGGGGCGAAGGCAGAAAAAATATTCTATGGGTGCATTAATTAATAAGAAAAAACATATGAAGGAATCGAACTTAAAAGCTATGGGTGCACAGTATGTTTTTGACCAATTTACCTAACAAGTTGTAATGATTTTAGGCTTAAAATTGTAACTTTTATAAATTTTATGGGTGCACTTGCACCCCTTGTTGATAACGTGCCTTAGCCCCTGTTGTTAGAGCAAGATAAAGCTCCAAAGAGTGTTTTGAAATTAGACACGAAACAAACCGGTAAACTCAGTTTCCACACTTTCCAGTATATAATCTGGTTTGAATTTTATAAAAAGAAAACATTATTTAAAAACTCGGTAAAACCTTAAAAGGACATTAAAATCAGAAACACGACTACCACTACCGGTAGACCAATATATAATCTTGAATTACTATTTTTCTTTTATTTTTTTTTCTGTTACATTATTCTAAAAGGTAAATTTTGGATAAATATCTCTTAACTAGGTCATAACCCGTGATGAGATTATTATCTTTGTTATTTATAAAATAAGAAGACATTATGTATGTTAATGTGAACATCGGTTTGGTTATAATTTGATTGACCAAATTCTTTTTCACAGAACTGTTAATTTTAGCACCCTACAAAGACAAGACTTATAGTCAGAAATTATATGGACACATTAAGCATACTTAAGATTACTAATTTGAAGAGTAAATGATTCCTATGCTTGAGTCGATTAGAACCATCTCAGTCGTTAGACCACCAGTTGCAGAATATTGATTCCACAAACGCGTGATCTTCACCATAATCTTCCATATAGACTTGAACGGTTTCATATCTTACATAGCAGTTATCGCATTCTTTATAAAAGAATGAGTGAAAAAATGTTTAGGTTTTGGGTTTAGGTTATGAGTAAGAAGATGGGAGACATGAGTCTTATATAGGTATAAGAAACTTAATGGAAGTTACGCCGTATCTCCAATAAAAAATAATGTCAATATTTGTGTCTTGCTCAGCAATTTTCTTCTACCACAAGAATATATATATTTCCATAAACCAAAGTTTTGAAATCTATGTAAATCTTCTATCATTAATCAACCTTCCAATCACTCAAACGTAGCGAAATCATTTTTAAAAAAATTAACGCATGGTTTTCAAAATCAGAATTACAAAAACCGATGGTTAACTTGATTTAAATGTCTTAACCAAATTAATANTCTACCACAAGAATATATATATTTCCATAAACCAAAGTTTTGAAATCTATGTAAATCTTCTATCATTAATCAACCTTCCAATCACTCAAACGTAGCGAAATCATTTTTAAAAAAATTAACGCATGGTTTTCAAAATCAGAATTACAAAAACCGATGGTTAACTTGATTTAAATGTCTTAACCAAATTAATAAAGAATTTTGGTTTAAACTTTCACTTGGGAAAAATGATACGAAAGAAACAAATATGTGCATGTTTTATACTTGACATCTTTCTAATACAATCATGCATGTATAGAAACTTATATAACGGAGAGTTGAGTTGGTGCTATGAAAAAATCAATGCTTCCTCTATGTCTAATGTTGAATTCACTGACTTGCCTCATTGTCAGTATTCTCCCTGAAAAGAGAGGAAGATTCTTAGGCAAGTTCATGCTATGTTTTCTCCGTATTGCTTCTCTGTGAAAAGAGAGGAAGCTCGTTTTGCAAGTTTCGCTTCATGATCATACAAATGTCTTGTATCCCTGAAGATCGTGAAGCAAATTCTGCAAGTTCATGCTTCTTTGAGGAAATCGACTATGAAATTCATGTTATGGCTTTTCCGTATTGCTTTCTTATTGAGAGTTGATGGGAGCTCCGTACAAGAAACTTCCATGTATATTTTCGTATTGATGGGAGCTCCATAGAAGAAACTTTCATGCTATACATTAAAAAAACTTAAACTCCTTCCTAGAAGTTATACTATCCTCGTGTTGGTCAAACTCCATGAAGAAACTTTCTTTGTAGTAAAATGCTCTTCGTGAAGATTGTCAGTTTCGAAGGCAATCCTAAGTTTTTGTTAATGGGAGCTCCGTGAAGAAACCGGAAAAGAAGTTTTCATGTTATATCTTCTATCGTATCAAATCGCTTAGAAGTTAAGAAAATGTAAAATTCTTCGGAGGTGTTGAACGATCGTCAAAAGCTAAACTACCATCAATTCTTTCGTCGAGATAATCATGGATAAAGAGGGAGTTTCCTCCACAGGTTTGCCGATAACTCTTGACAGGAAAAAAAGTTTACGTTTGACATTACTTGACAACAACAACATACAGCATTTGGCAACATACATATCCATGAGGGATGCTTTCTTCGATTTACTCATCTCGATCTTTTCGAGGATCACATGGCGTAGTTGGTCTCTTTGTTACAGATGAATCATCGCAAGAGAATTGTGAGAAACCATTAATAAATCTTTATATGTCAAGACATGTAATATGAAAAGTTAGAAAATATGTTTTATGAATTTGGCAATATTTTTTGTGAGAAGAATTCTGGAAGCGACACGTCAGCATTATCTCTTATTCAATGTGAACGCATTTAATGCAAAATGCTTCTCTTTTAATATATAAGGGATGCGATTTTATTTTGATAAATACACCATCATTTAATGTTTTTGAAAACTACACTTTATACTAAGTGAATTGACTAAATTATCCTTGTCTAATGTTTTAAACTATCCTAATATTCAAATTAAAAAAAAACTTGATTAACAATCAAATTAGGATTTGAATTTCTGGGTTCGAGTGGAATATACAAGATAAACAACTCACAAAATTTTTGACCAAAAAAAATTATTTAGCAACGCGAAGAGTATGAGCTTCTTTGTGACTTTTTTCAAGCCATATTTTAGAGAAATGTTAAAATGATGTTGAATATTATATACTCTAGTCTCTAAATGACTAATGATGAAAACACACATAGACAAATCTAATGGATGAATAAAGAGGACAAACACACACACACACACACACACACACATTTCGTCATCTTCTTTCTTTAAGATCAGAGATTGTGTTCAGTTTTAAAATTTTACAGGTTGCCGTATCACATGAGGATGTTTTATATTATAAAACATCAAGGGACACCATTTTTTGTTTGAACAGGAAAAATGATGAAGTCTGTTTTGGTCTGATTAGATATCAGGACCAGAATTGGCCAAACACATCGACGCAATTGCTTCATCATCTTGGTGTCTCCACTCGAATAACAAGCTCAAGCTACCAGGCTCGACGAGGGACACCAATTTAAAGCTAAACTATCACAGAAACCTTCCGAAACGTCTCAAAGCCATCCCCGAAACGTTTCCAAAGCCATCTCGAAACATCTCTAGTACGTGAGACAGCTGATAGTAGACGTACTCATGCTTTCCAGTCCACATGTAGTCATATTATAACTAACCTAAATCAATAAAATAATTTCTGGTTATGATTAAATCTGTTAGTTTCAAACGATGTAGTGAATCATATGATATATAAAGCTTTAACTTTTGATTTTATGAAAATATTTGAAGAGTTTTTTTATCCAGTTACTTATTTAATCATATTAGAATATATATTTATTTTGAAGATAATAGCAATAACAATATTTCTGAATTTAAGTTTTATTTATTATTGACCAATTTTATTAAAATATAATATCTAAGTTAAATTAGGATAAATATGTCTTATCACATATAAGAAGAGTTAGTTTTCAAAAATAAAAATTAAGGCGTATTTTTCAAATTTAAAAACACAAGTAGGGTATTTTTCAAATAATCCCTTATTAAAATCTATTTTGTATTCTAATTAAGAAGTTAAATTTTCAGTTTTTCAAAAATAAAAAGATCATATGATCATGTGGATAATAAATCTATGAACAAAACTAATCAATGACATTACTATGTTTCTGTTTTTATAGTCTATTACAATTTTTTATTTTACTTTTGGTTTATTTTAGATTTAAAGTTTAATTTTACTATTCAACATTACATTCAAATACTTGAGATTTTAAGTCTTGATATATTTTTATTATATGTCATAACTCTTAACTAGTCAATTCTTTTGTTTGAAATTTTATATGAAATGGAAATAAATATAAAAAACTAAAGTTAAGTATTTTTTAAATGTTTCTCAACTAGTAAATATTATTATATGTCATATTTCTTAAGTAGTCAATTCTTTTGTTTGAAATTTTATATGAAATGGAAATAAATATAAAAAGACTAAAGTTAAGTACTTTTTTTAAATGTTTCTCAAAAAATAAAACACCACCAAAGGTCAAGCATTTCCTTTAGAGGCTATTATCTAGAAGTTTAGTTACGGGTAATAACTTGAAACGAAGACATATCACCAACGATGTTATATGTAAACGTTGTTGGCAAGAAGAGGAAACAGAGGAGCACCTTTTCATTGGGTGTGGTTATGCACAACAATTAAATTTGGAGAGCTGCTGAATTGCTAACCCAATCATATATAATTCCAACACGAATTTTACATCAAAAATTGAAGCTTGTCTGCAGTTCTCAAATTTAACGAGGTTAACACATTATCATGAAATACTTCTATGGATATTTTGGGGAATATGGAAAATTCGTAAGAAGTTGGTGTTTCAACAAAGACAATTACATTGGAACTAAAAGCGATGCAAATGAATGGAAAGAAGTGGAGTCTTACGATGATCAAAACCTCATGGGACGTCAAAGAGCTTTATCTTCTCCAAACACAAATCATTGTTGGAAAAGACCTACGTTAGGATAGATAAAATGCAATGTAGATGACTCTTTTATAAATGCTGGGATGAAAGATACTGCGGGATGGATTATACGTGATGATGATGGTTTATACAAAGGTTCAATACAAGCTACTGGTAAGCAAGTGAGTTCTGCATTAGAAGGAGAACTACATGCTGTTTTAATGGCAATATTGTTGGAGCAGAGGATACCAT